GAGGATGGGCTTGTCGCTGTCGTTGTAGTGGGCTGGCGTCTCAGTGAATTGGATTGAGAAGTTCTCGGATCCTGGGATCTCGTAGTTGGCGAGAGTCTCTTTGTCAGGTTGCCAAAGCTGAGGCCAGTCTTCCAGACCTTCCCGTCGATCATCAAACCCGTCTTCGTCGACCACGGGAACATGGTTAGGGCTTGGTCCTTCTCTAGCCTCGACGCCGCCGAAGAAGGATTCGGTGGCCTTTTCCCTCTCCAGCTCTTCATTGATGTCAATATTAAGATAGCCTTCGAGGCTTGTGCCAAGAGATGCGAAGTGATTCTCGACGATGTCTGGTTTGTTGGTTAGCTACGGGCAGGAAAGAATTTCCGGCGGAACGCCGTACCCTTCGTTGTTACGTCCACGCCTGCATGTGCAAAGGCGAACTGGGTGATATCAGGGGTGTCAAGGATGTAACCTCCGTCCGGGCCATTGGAAGTGGTAGCTATAGAAACCTTGGTCAGAAAGGTCAATGAAATGGTTGAGAGAGAGACTACCCTGTGCATTTCTGTTCGCTTCGAATGATGATTTCATTGATTCCTTAGACTTCATGGCCTTGAGACCCGCATCCGCAAACAGGTACTCGAAATATGGAGGTTGCGGAAGAGCAGGGAGTGGTTTGTTGAGATATTCTTCCTTGCTTCTTGCTTCGGATTCCAGGTCCATCGAAATCAGGGAAGAATGACCACTCATGTCAGTGCCTCTGGCACTGAAGCCGAGCTTCTTGTACCAAGACCTGCCGCGGCGCTCAGGAGAGGCGGGTTGGCTCACCGAAGTCTCCATGCTTTCCACAGGACTCTTCTCAGGATCAGGCAAGCCCAAGTAAGGCGCACTGAAGCCGGGCATCTTGCACCGACGAACTGATGAACCTATCTCAATTGATAGAGATTGAGCCGATGTCGAGCCTTGATTTCACAGCTGGCTTTTCAGATGACAACAAGTAAAGATACAGGAGTACAGGCAACAACGCACTGGAAGTTGCCAGGAAATCTGGGTTGTAGAGAAGGTGAGAGCAAAGACGGCGGTGACATTGTAAAAATTTCGAGTTCGATCAGTGAAAGTATTCACCTCACCGGTCCCGATCTGGAATCATATCCTCCCAGCCGCATGATATTTCTTCACGGTGACTATCTCATTGAGCGAATGGGTGGGCAGCAATTGAAAATTTCTGCCTTTCTTACCAGTGAATGAATCAGGGTGTGGTGGAAAAGAACAATACGATCCTCGATTGAGCTTGGGAAGTCCGGCCGAAGATATCGACCATCGCTGCCATCTTCATGTTGTGCCAGTTTCGCAGCAGCTGGTCGCTCAAGAAGCCCTCATCTGCGCCGCCCCAAGGTGATGGTATGCTATGGTCGTCATGGTCAGCCACGGACTTACCTTGTCGATCGACTGGACAAGTCATCCGCGTCCGCAGCTGGCCTGGATCATCGGTGTTCCCTATCGCCCGCTGGTTTGGGTCATAATGCCACAACAGCCTGGAATATCTGATGGAAACCTCGAGTCTCTGGGGACATACGTATCAACATGTCCTGTCTTCTTCTGCCCTTTTCTGAAGCGACGGTGAGGAATACGGAAGAGGTCCGGACTAAGTGGTGGAGCTAAGGAGGCACGGATGGACTGGGTTCCGATATGAACAGGCATGGAAGTTTCTGCTTTCAGCATTCTGTGGGATGGAATTTCTGGCAGACTCTGTTTCAGGCTTGGGAATGGACGGTGGTTAAGGGGATGTCGGATCTGAAGCGCGTGCGGATCGGGCTGCGAGGCGGCGAGGCGGCGAGGCGGCGAGTTGGTGCCGCGCGGAAAAGGCGCCTCAGACACTGACCAGGCCAAGCCACGCTGATCCGACTCGCCGACCGCGACTGGGGGATTCGTCAACACCTTGGCTCAGCCAGGGGCTTCAGGGCTTTTGCGTTCAGATTTGCTGGGGTCCTGTTTTCAGTTTCTCAATAAAACTCGATCAATTACATTCGAGATAACGTCTCTCTTTTTCTCTACTGTCCCGAGTTGTTTAGAACTAACGCTAGCTAATCCGTGATTCTCACCCAGCAAACTCCCCGAGTCCGACGGCATTTGGGACGTCTTCCTCCAGCAAATCTGACTTGTTCTAGACTGCGCCCTCCTTCGGCCGATTCCCACTATCGCGGCTTTGGCAATCTGCTTGAAGTTATTCAGAAGACAGATCATCCTCTACCAGATCATTTTCCCGGCGAAAGTGTCGAAGAAGCCGCGGGCACAGAGATCGGATACTTGACGGAGCTCTGCCTTTCCGCACCCTCCCCTTTCCCGCGCCTCCATCGCTCACCTTTCCCGGAGATGTCAGCTGAGCGGTAGCACCTTTCTCGCAGTTCCTCTTACAATATGGCCAGGCTTTGGGCAACATGCGCCCTGCTCGCCATTATCTCTTCGACGTGGGCGGCGGAGAAAACCGCAGCTGATTACTTTGTTCATTCGCTGCCTGGACAGCCCGATGGTCCTCTCCTTAAGATGCACGCCGGGTATGCAGCACCATCACTTCAAGAAAAAGAGATATTGACATAAGCAGACATGTTGAAGTCAATCCGGAACACAACGGACACATGTTTTTCTGGCACTACCAGAATCGACACATCGCCGATCGACCGCGAACCGTCATCTGGCTCAATGGTGGACCGGGATGCAGCTCGATGGACGGGGCGTTGATGGAATTGGGCCCTTACCGAGTAAGAGAGGGAGGAAAACTGGTCTACAATGAAGGCTCCTGGGACGAGTTCGCAAACGTCTTGTTCGTGGACAACCCCGTCGGCACTGGCTTCAGCTACGTGAATACGGACAGCTACCTTCATGAACTACAGGAGATGGCCGACCAATTCCTCGTATTTATGGAAAAATGGTTTAAGCTGTTTCCCCAGTATGAAAACGACGATCTCTATCTTGCAGGCGAATCATATGCCGGACAATACATCCCTTATATCACCAGGGCTCTTTTGGATCGCAACGCCAAAGCGCAAGGTCAAGGGAAAGGGATATGGAACATCAAAGGCCTTCTGATTGGCAATGGTTGGATTTCACCCGCGGAGCAATACCAATCTTACCTCACCTTTGCCTATCAGGCCAATCTCATCCAAGGCGGGACTCCTGATGCGGCCCGAGTCGAAGCGGTGCAGTCAGCGTGTATTACGGAACTTGCCAAGCCCGGCGGGACGGAAAAGGTGGACGTCAGTGCATGTGAGGCTGTCTTGTCCACAATTCTGGATGTGTCCAAGGTAAACGGCATGTGTTACAACATGTACGACGTCACCCTTAAAGACAAGTGGCCGTCTTGTGGCATGGCCTGGCCTCCGGATTTGGAGACGGTGACGCCGTACTTGCGACGGGACGATGTGCTTGCAGCATTGCATGTGAACCCCGACAAGCGGACTGGGTGGGTTGAATGTTCAGGCGCCGTTTCTTCTTCGTTCCGAGCTAGTCACTCGAAGCCAAGTGTTCAACTGCTCCCAGGCATTCTCGAGGAAGGTGTTCCCGTGCTATTGTTCAGTGGCGCCAACGACCTGATCTGCAACCATGTAGGAACGGAGGATTTCGTCAACAAGATGCAATGGCTAGGGGGCCAGGGCTTTGAGCTCTCTCCAGGGGTCATAGCTCCGAAGCGCGATTGGGAATTCGAAGGCGAACCGGCCGGTGTGTATCAAGAAGCGCGGAATCTCACCTATGTCAAATTCTACAATTCAAGTCATATGGTGCCGTTCGACTACCCTCGACGAACCCGGGATATGCTTGATCGATTCATGGGCGTGGATACGACGGGTATTGGTGGCGAGCCGACCGACAGCCTTATTGATGGTGAAAAGCTGGGCCCTGAAGCGGACGTTGAACCACCAGCCAACAGCACTGTCACTGCTGAAGATGAGAGCCAGAAGCTGAAAGACGCCGAACTCAAAGCCTACTATCGCAGTGGTGAGGCGGCTTTGGTATTCGTGCTTATTGCGGCGGGGCTGTTTGGTTGGTGGGTATGGCGAGGAAGGAGAAAAGCTCGAAGTCAGGGGTATATGAGTGTACCCCTCACGAATGGCGCGATGCGCAAGGGTCGGGGGGACGTGGAAGCAGGGGATTTTGATGAGAGTGAGCTGGACGACCTGGAATCAAGGCGGCGACGTGGGAATATGGATGCGCAGCACTATGATTTGGCGAGCGATAGTGAGGATGAAGATACAGTGGTTCCAAGTGGTGGTGGCAAGGGAGAGCAATCAGGCCCCAATTAAGACCCCCCCAAAAGGACATAAAATTAGTGGTATTCTTTTTTTTAATGATAGATGCATGGTGATCTTTGGTTCTTGAGCAATGGTCTTCCGCTTTTCCTGTCTTTTCCATCAACTTTGCCTTTAACCCACAGCTCCTCGAAACCCGCGCAGCCTTGCCCCGTGATTACATAGCCTTGGCGGCTAATCGACACTACGCTAGCCGACCCCCTGGCAATGTCGCCCTTTCGAAAAGCCTGTGCGAATACCTTGAAGCCCCTTTTGCAGGACTATGGAGGAGGAACTGTTAGGTCTTAGACACTTGTCTGGTCTCTTGCGGTATCAGCGTGAGTCTATGGAATACGGAATATCTTCCTCTTCCCTATTGGGAGTTTCCTTGTTTTACCAGAACGAACTAGTCGGTCGCAGCCCCGGCCCACTCCTCTCATAGGCCATGTCAATCAGCTTCATCTGGTTAATTGAGTACTTGCCACTGATCAATGACTACGTCCGACGGTCCTTTACCCCATTCACAAACTCCTCGAGCTGGTAGCGATACGACGTCCACAAGCGCTCACCGGGCATGTTCGCGAATTTGCCACCAGCCTCCCCGTAGGTGTGTGCTTTATGAGCCTTGGATTCGACCAATTTCTTGACCGAATCTAATCCGGGGTAGCCCCCGCAACGAAGTAGATACCTACCTTAGAGTATTTTCCCTGCGTAGCCAGATAAGCGTCAAGTTTTTTTGAGATGGGTGAAGTAGGTGATAAACCTCCTTCCACAGTTGAAGTCTGGGATGAGCTCCCCAATTTACATCGCAGTCAGGAACCTGCCCATGTTGAAGAGACAACCCGAGAAGATCATCCCAGAAATGGTGCCATCCTCTTAGACGTTGGCGCCAAATGCGATGTGGAGGGATTCCAGCGAACGACTAGACTGGCAAAAGATGAACATGTAATGAACGTTCGCGACACTCTGGTATCAGCGGTTAACGATACATTTTGCAGTCAGTTGTGGTTCCCCAGCCATCAGACGACGCACAAGACCCCCTCAACTGGTCCGCTTCGAAGAAACATCGCATCCTCATCACTCTTGCTGTTGCAGTCTTCATGGCGGATTTCCAAGCCACATCGGGTGTTCCGTGCTTGATACCTCAGTCGGCAGAGTGGCATACCACCCCAAATCACGTTAATTACTCGGGAAACTTGAATATCATCATGGCGCAGGCATCACTTACAAGATATCTGGGAGACTTCGCTGACGACTGTCATGTCAGTGGTATTGGTGGCATTCTGGGCATTCCCGCTCTCTATTTTTGGGGTCGCGCACTGGTTGCCTTTTGGTCCATTCTGATAAGCATATTTTTGCAGTTAGGATGTGCCCGTGTACAGTCCTTTAACACCTTCTATGCCCTTCGAGCACTGGTTGGCCTGACATCTCAGCCCGCACTCACAGCCGGTCTAGCCTTCATTCAGGACATGTTTTTCTTCTATGAACATGCTCGCAAAATTGGCGTTTGGGCGGCTATATTCCTCATTGCACCCTACTTCAGTCCACTGTTAGGAAATTTTATTGTTGCTCAGACGGGGAGCTGGAGGATCGTCCAGTGGCTGCCATTTGCCGTTGGCGGGGCAAATATCCTTATGATGGCTGCTTTTCTGGACGAGACCAGGTACAGGCGCGATATTCAGATGTCTGAGCAGCCAGACCGGGGAGCTAGGCTGCTTAGAATACTGGGTGTTTGGCAGATCAGGGTCCATCATCACTATTTCGATAGTGTTAGGAGATCTTGCATGCGTATTGTCGAGGTGGCTATCAAACCGATTATGGTTCTCGTTTTTATTTACTAGTAAGCTCCCCACCGCATGAATGACCTGTGGTTGACAAATTCAGTATGGCAGTGTTCATATGGCTGGTTGGTATTAACCAGACCTCAAGTATTCTCTTTGCTACTGCCCGCGCTGAAGGTGGATATGGATTTGGCCAAAACGCCGTGGGATTTTTATTCTTCGCACCCATCGCCGGCATCATTGCAGGAGAAATTTTCGGCCATTTTTTCAACGATTACATCTTTCGACGCAGTCTCCGCCGTCATAAGGGGCTTTTTGTGCCTGAATATTGTCTCCCAACAATTTACGTTGGCCTTATTCTCATGTTCCTGGTTTAGTCATCATAGGAGAAGCTCTTTGGAATCATTGGCTCTGGGTGGCCATCGTCTTTTGGTTGGGGTATGATGGCCTTTGGTACAATGCTATGTTCAGTTGCAATTACCGCTTACACTCTGGATAACTATTCGTTGGCGTCAGGCGAGGTCTCGTCTCTCATCAATTTTGCACGTCTGGTGAGTGGGTTCTCTGTCGGGTAAGTCTTTCTAACTTCTTTCCTCACCACACATCGTTGACGGTCGGTACAGCTACTTTCAATTAGTAAGTATATCTCTTGGCGGCTAGTATAATTCTAACTTGCTTCGCAGGACTGGGGCGGAAAATCAGGATGGGACGTTTCCTTCGGTTGCTAGGCCGCCGTTGTCGCTCCCGCCACCGTCATAATCATTCCCACTCGTCATATATTTGGTGCAAAGTTACGGCGTTGTGGAGGAGAGCTGCCGTACTAGGAAGCTTCGTTATCGAGGGCAAGCCATGGGATAAGATCTTGCCAGGGTCAGAAAAGACCAAAGAGAGCAGAAGAGAGCAGAAGATTGTAGTAGATGGCTTGATACTATCGACTCCGGATTGGGGCCATTGTCGGAAATTAGTTTCGGAAGCGGTGTGGTTTGGAAGAGTGTTAGATCATTGATAGGCAATAAGTTGATTGATTCAGAAGGAAAGAGAAGTTCAATCTGCGACAATAGAAGAGGCTAAAACACCCATGTTGGTCAAGGTGTCACTTTGCCAAGAGATCTCCTATATTACCTGATTTGGCTAGTTCAACAAAAAGCGGGGGTGGATGGCCCCAGTGAAGATTTTTAACCTGAAAGCCCTGTGATCCAAACACGAAAGACTCTCCACTCGTACGGAGATCTCCAGGGAAACTGCAGAGACCATGAATGCCCACATTTAGTAATTGGCTTGAACCGTATGGGGGCTATCTATCATAGAGATTATGAATGCTGCCAATTCGCGGAAGCTCTAGACGGCGTGTCACACCAACAAAGAATATTAGTTTCGCAAAAAGGAGCATTAAGTCGACCCAGGCTTCTGCAGCGACACATTTTCAGATGGTTCAAGTCCTAGCCGGTTGCCTAGACGCTACTGTTACCCTCACTCCTTGGATAAATTCTGTATCGTTTCTATAATAATCTTCTATGGCTGAAGCCTTGGGAAGAGATATCTAACTGCTCTAATTTTGCGGTTGTGCTTTTTATGAAATCCCCATCAAAGTGTGAGAAACGAAGAAGGCTATCACATTGATACTTGGGACGACACAGATCTTCTTGTCCTATGTCTGATGCGCTAAGGCGTCTGGGAGCCACCACCGTTATCAATGTGTACTTTCCCGACACGAGAAAATTCAAAGTGGCTACTAGCTCTACTCCGTTCTTCTTCGACGGTGTGACACATCTCCTCGCCACGATATTATCCGATCGGACAAGAATCGCGCCTCCAGCCTCGATACTTTTGCAGGCTTGCCATTCCCCGTCGCGATCATGTATGTACGGCACTGTGCTGATACGATCTGTGTGATCGGTATTGGCAAATCTTGCGCGACCTTTGTAGTAGCTTCCCAGGCATCGCCGTCGATGTCAGTGATCACCAGAAGACCTCCATGGTGACATACAAGGTCATGAGTTGAGGTCACGTCGCCATAATTTTCCAACCAAGCATGGGACAGGTGTAACACTGAGAACCGTCAAGATGGTAGAGAGCCTAATGCCTTATCCTCAGAGATGTCCGTGTGTCTGTCATCTCAGCGAGTTCTTTCCTGTTTATATAGGCATTTGGCCTGTGCCTAGAGAGGCATTTCTGGCCCCTCCATGTCGGCATCATCCGGAACGACATCATCCAGCTCAAATGGCATGATGTGAATGGCGCCGTTAGCGCGGTCGACGTGCCCTGGTTTGCGCCGCTGATTCTGTCGGCAATGGCGAGCTAGGTGGCGATCTCGCAGCCCTGAAACTCTCTTCGTCTCACAATATGATCTTTGAGTCCAGCTGGAAAGAAGATGATATAGCGTGCATAGTGTCTGAGACCCTATTCAAAGCGCCAGCCCTTATATCCGTACAAGTGGCAGAGCGACCTGCTGATGATAGACTCTGGTCTAATCCCATAATCGACAAGCATCTCTTTGAGCCGATTGACCATGCCCATGGTCCCGTCCCAACTTGTCGCGACTGTCACTATATTGCATTTGCGGATAATGGCCATTAGTGAGTAATCTGGTGGTAAAACCTTCGCATCGTTCCTGTGTTCGGGATCCTCCGCGGATAATTTTGAGGTCATGAATAACATTCATTAAGCGAATCAAACGCCAATGGTTCCCTCTGTCTTGACTCTTGTCACATTGGAGGAGAAGGCCGTCCTTCTGACCATATGATGGAAAATTGTCACGTACATTAAGTACCGGTCGTTGTCTCCTGCCACCTCCTGCACGATCCAGAGTCCTCCCTAGTATGGCGTACAGGGGTCACTCTCGAGAACTTCGTGGATAACATGCGCCTGTTTGGCTCTTCGAGTAATTGGCATCGAGCCACCACCTGACCGCAGATCCTTCTCGTCCATGTCAACGACGTATGCGTGGTTAGCCCCTCAGAAAGGCGTGGCCATACAATGATATGCCGCGCCATTTAACATACCGAAGATGTGAGTCGCACCTGATGGTTCGTGTCCTCGGTATTGGTCTGCTCAATAAAAACGCCGTCGGATACGGGGTAGTTTCATGGCTCGTTTTGGTGCAATCTCCGTGCTTCGCGTCATTCCTGGGAGGCTGGGAAGTTCGCGCATTGGGACAATACTCGAAAAGGTGAAACACAATATATGTTAGATATACATGCGGTCGAAACAGTTATCAGCGGCTAAATCGTTATTGAAACCGTGGCGGATCCCCACACTACGGACTCTATTGCCAACCTCCCCAAAGCTGTCGCTTTCGCCATTAGATCGCGAATTCCGCGCCCTTGAAGCATGCGAGCGACGCGCCTGCCTCGATGATAGCCTTCTCTCATTCCTTATGCTCCCCCGCCGTACATCCGAGTCTTCCTCGGCCCCTGAACTCGTTTCACTATCATCAAGACGGCCTGGGGTGTCATCAATATTTGTGGCTCAACAGAATAATTCATGGGAAACCAGCCGTGCCTTTTTTTTTTTTTTTCACTTTTCATCGGAGACCCAGCATCCTCCTTAGGCCGAACCAAATTAACGTATGAGTTCCAATATGGCTTGTCAGAATTCTGGAGCTCCTGCCTCAATCCAGATTCGTCTGCGGCAAGCGGGGCGCTCTGATTGGTCCACTATTGAAGCAATTCAATTTTCTGCAATGGTGATCATCCATCCCCGCCAGATGGGAGTATCGATGGTCTCGAATAAGGCTAAGGCGGTTGACATGTCCTCCTATTATTGTTGAGACAGGCCGAACTTTCCTAGCACGAGGCACATCTATGCCGTGCACAAAGTTATTGATGGCTTTGGATGGTCCATTTCGTCTGTGACTTGACCGATATTCTTCGCTTTGCAAGGTTTCACTCGGCGGTGGTGTCAGTAGCTTATCTTCTGCCCTGTCTTCGGCAGTTACCAGATGCTCAGTAGCCGCTTGTTAAGCCGGGAACAACGAACGCATCATGAAACGGGCTTGGGAGTCTTGATCATCATCCTCCCCAATCAAAGAGAGGCTTTGATTATCAACGCAATTTGGTTCCCGACATAGAGGATCTGGCTTACCGTCGGCTAGCAAGCTTTTGAGCCAGCACTGGGGTATTGAGCATTAAACGTAGGGTAGCTCCACAGGTTTTGAGTTGTTCATGGAACAAGCAAGACTGTTTTGTCTTTGAAATACCAATTAACACGGGTCAAGAAGTCAGGTCTTGACTTTCCGCCCAGTAAGTTGATGACAGCCTTACTCAGATCGTCAAATATGATCTTGCATCGGTCGATGATATTTTGAGTCGTAGTTAAGGCAGACAACGAAAGTCGATATGCCCTGGCATGGGACAAGGTAGAATGTGCTTGAGCACGGCGCAAACCAGAGTGACATCGGGTGCGAGTGATTCGACGTCGTCAGATGCTGAACCGAGAATATGGGCAAAATCGTAGACGCTTCGTGAGAGTGTCAGTCCCCCTCCAATGACTTCGGCAAAATTGGCAACGATGGCTATGGCCGCAAAAGATTCAGTCATTATGCACGGAGTCTGTGACTTTCCAAGTTCGACAATAATAGAAGACGCGTATTGCTCAAGAAATTGACCCAGCTAGCAAGCAGAAAGATACAGAGCAACTGCAGAAAGGAAAATATCTAGGCAACCTTGAGGTAGGTACTCGTATTGGGAGGAGAAGATGTCGCGCGATCGAGGGGGACGGAGTTGGGGGCCTGTTCCCGATATGGTTTAGCGACGGACTAGCTACCGAGCATCTGGGCGATAACTTGGTGGTACAGTACCTAATTAGCTGACTGGTCTTGCTAGTCTAAACTATTAAGGACATGGAGTTGCACAAGAGCCGACACTCTTTTCACTTCATTTTCACTTTTCTTTCACTTTGCTCTCAGATTCAGTTGTGTCTTTCGATGCCCTCTTCTGCTCTAATCTGCTCTACTCTGTTCTACCCCGAAACCGTTCACTCACTGCGCTTTGTCCTTACATGCCTTCTACTTTTTGGCAATGTGTCAATGTCTGGTGGACCTGCAGTGCATTTTCCAATTAGCTCGTCAACTCCTTGCAGCTGTGGCAGCCGTCTGTCCAACCTGTTCAACCTATCGGCCCGTCCAGCTCGTCGTCCCTTGACAACCTCAGACCTGGCCTTGGTTCTAGGCTCAACCTCAGTCTGATGCCGATGCTGGTGCTGATCCTCATCCTGATGCTCGTCCTCTTTACTGGTGCATGTTCGTCTCCACCACCTCCCCCTCTACTTCTATATCTGGACAGACATGCCTGTCGCCGACGCGCCCCTTGTCGCCCTCATTCGTCCTCGTTGCCCTCGACCGCTGCAAGCCCAGGCCTTAGACACCTTTCTCCTCTCT